GGGGAGGTGGTGGTGGCGGTGTGGGTGAAGGTGGTTTGGGAGGTGAAGGCGGTGGTGGAGGAGGAGGTTGGAGACCCGGAGGTGGGTATGGAGGTGGTGGCGAAGGCGGAGGCGGGAGACCTGGAGGTGGAGGCGGGGGTGGAGGCTGGAAACCCGGTGGTGGAGGCTGGGGGCATGGTGGTGGAGGCGGAGCTGGAGGTTGGGGACCCTTTGGTGGAGGTGGGGGAGGAGGCTGGAGACCCGGGGGTGGCGGCGGAGGCTGGAGACCTGTGGGCGGAGGTGGGGGTGGAGGCTGGAGACCCGGTGATGGAGGTGGTGGTGGAGATGGAGGCTGGAAATCTGTAGGTAAGGACGGAGGTGGAGGCTGGAGAACCGGTGGTGGAGGCTGGAAACCTGTAGGCGGAGGCGGAGGTGGAGGGTGGAGACCCGGTGGTGGAGGTGGGGGCGGACGCTGGAAATCTATAGGCGGAGGCGGAGGTGGAGGCTCGAGATCCGGTTTTAGAGGTTGGAAACCTGGTGCAGGAGGTGGAGGTCGGAGACCTGGAGGTAGAGATGGAGGTGGAGGTGGGGGATTGTGACCAGGAGGTTGAGGTGGTGGATAGCATCGGTGCCGCCGTTAATCACTCATCTATATATTTTTGAATAGAAATTAATATTGACTTTATGAAATTTAAGTAAAATCTTCTGTATTTTCATTTTAAATAAAGGTTAATGTGCACTCTGAGCAAGACCATTAAAAATCACAATTTGTGTCCGTTATAATTGTTTGATCGTGGTAAGGAGAGCATTCTTATTCAAGCCAGAGAAGAAGCTGATTAAGTTAAGGCTGCGGCAGATAGAAGGCGAGATCAACGAAATACGAAGAGATGATCGATGAAATGAGATGTTGACTTTTCCTTTCTTGTCATTTACCGTTATTTTAGTGGTTTCTTATTTTGTTTATTTTGTTAAGTCGACAGCCACGCTACGTTCTACGTTGTCCTCATCTTTTTCTTTTACAGTCTGCTTCTAAATTACCAAGCGAGGAACAAATTATTCGTATTTCAACCTGTATCGTTCCATTCGAAAGTCACTTTTTTGTCATTGACGCTTAAGAACGTGTCCACCTGAAAACCTTGCAGACGAGTCTACGCGAACCCTCACTGAATTCGCTCAAATTTGGCTCACTTGCTGCCCACAATGAGCCTACAATCTAGACCAAACGGTTTATCCAGATACTAATCTTTTTAGGGAGCTATACTAGTTTTAAATCTTTCTCAGAACATGCGCAAAAATCCGTGCCAATAATGTAGTGAATTCATGATGCTGGTGTTTCTCCAAAATCTCAAGCCAACAAAAAATATTTTGTTAAGTGAAAGTAGAAACCTAGATCTTTATGTACACACATAAAAAGATATGATTGTCCGCTTTTATATTTGTGAGCCATCAATGAAATTTGACAATTTTCACCACCTTGCGAAATAACGGAAAATACCCCTAAAATAGCGGGGAAAAGCAAACAAGCGGCCATGTTTTGATTCATTTCAATGGTTTTTTCAGCTTGCACAATTGATGATTTAGGCAATTACGAAAATAAAAGTGTGTGATGTTTACAGTTTAGGTGAAGAATTTGCCCTTGAAGTACGGCAATCCGGCGTGCCTGGGAGGGTCACGTGACACGTCCCGGAATGTCGTAATACCGATTCCGCTTGTTCATAGGTCTCCATAGCGCGAAGAAAACTTCGAGAAGATCTTTAGGAGTATTTTGAAAAACCAAGTTTATGTTTCATTCCAGTTTTATCTCATCTAAAAATCATATAGGAAGCCCGGCCGCTTTTTATTTCATTTATTTATTTTTTTATTGCACCGCAACTTCTAGGCCCTTTTAAGTAAGAAAAGTACTTATTTGTTTGCAGTAAAAGCAAAGTAATGATCAGGTATATCGAAAATGAAAATTAAAAATATTTTGGTTATTTTGGCTATTTTTGTTTTCCGACGGCTTTTACTTTGGTAAAGCGCTGAGAGGATTACTTGACACGCACAGATACCGACAATTCCCACGCTTTCTATGCATAACCATACTAGCAGACATTTCGTAAAGATGGGCGATTTTAAATGTGTGTTCTTTTCAGCAATATTCTAAGAAAGAACGTAACGTTTATGCTCGAAACAAGAGCGTCAGATCTATTTTATTGTGAAGAATTGTTCTTGCAGCACAAAAGAGCACTTGTATGGTTTGGATATATCAACAAAGTTGAAATGGTAAATTGGCGACCGTACCAATTACAGAAGCTGACGTTTCGAGCTTTAGCCCTTTGTCGGAGCGATATATTGTTATTGTTGATATATCCAATTTATTTCGTTACCCCCACCGACGCAGCCCCAAACAGTTTTTTTAGAAACTATCAGCCTTTATTTACTTGTATGGTTGTTTAGCCTCCCGGGAAGGAGTAGAGGAAGACGATAAATTATGTTTGGTCCGCGTTGGATTATTCGACGAGTGCGGAGAGGATCTCACAATTTGTCCCGAGCACAGCAACAAATTTGGCTTGGGATGGGGGCCAAGTAAAGTTTGTAAATATCCTGAGCATCAGAGCAAACAGAAACCGTACAGAGGGATATCCAGGGAGTTGTCGAGAAAAATATACTTACCTTTTAGCTTCGGTGTGCTTTGCGAGACTGGACAAGGAAACTCATTGCAATGCTGTGTCGGAATACCTGCTACTTTTTACAATGAACACAGCATCAGATAAAATATAAGTTTTGTCATGCCTCCGAGTTAAAATAATATTATTATTTTGGTTTTCTAGGGATATGTAGGAAATAATTATCTAATTACAGCGAAACTGTGCGCTGCTCCGAGGAGACAACTAGTGATACACAGGTAAAATACTTAGTTCTTATTAACCGAGCGGGAGGTCTGTATGGGAGAATCTTGACCGAGGTCGCCAGTACAGACCGAACACAGTGAAGTCTGTACCAACGATCGAGGTCAAGATTCTCCCATACAGACCGACCGATCTAGCACGGTTAATGAGATGTTTATTATATATGGCTGTGTCTTATATGCCAATTTTTTTATCTTCTATGTACCTTTTTTTTTAGACCGGTCTAGATGCCGGTCTAGATGGGAAAATCTAGACCGCTTTCAACATTGATTTCAGCCAATCAAATTCGTGAATTCGGTAGTTCCCAGTCCTTGTGAGACACAGCCATATAATGATGCGAAATATTAGTGCTTTTCTAAACCGGTAGTCATCCCAGTAAATTTAATTTCAGACTTTAATGCAACAATAAGGCAACATTCCACATGCAGTTTTCATTTCGAAAAGTCCTGGCAGCGATTGCCGGTCGAATGTATACTATACTCTATTTGCAAGTGGGGTGGGGGAATGAAAAATTTTGAAATAAATTGTTTGCAGAACCGTAAAAACTGAAATAAATTATCTGCAAGCGCAATAAACCGCAATAAATTGTATGCAACCCCCCAAATAAATTGTTTGCTGCTGCAAAAAGGAAATAATAAGCTGTTTGCATGAAAAACAATTTTTGTCTCTCCCCCCTCCCTTCAGAGAAGTAATGGTCTGTCCCTAACAGCTTATATTTGTGCGCTCAAAGCATGGTTACTATGGTTACAAGAAAAGACACGGTCGTTGTACCCTTTAAGGCACCCGAAGAAGGTAAAATGTGAAGGATAATAATTTAATTGTGTTCCCACGGCACACCCTATTTTCAAACGGAATGAAGTAAGATTGCCACATTGATGCGCCACGCAAACAAACTCGATATTGTCTGTCCGTGGTTACAATTATCAATAAAACTGCAATGGAGTCTAACACTCGAAAATAAAGCAACAGTGGCAACAGGTACAACATTGCGCCTCGTAGTATAAGGCCCATGCCAGAAGATCCAGCATGCTTCGCGCACCTCCCCTGTAGGCCACAGCACCTGAAGCTTCAAACATGTACTTACTCATGCCTGTGGATGTTGATTTGCAGGTCATGATGATACTACTGTAGCGCAGCTGAAAGAGGCTATTGACTCGTACGGGGGAGTTAAAGGTTGCTGGGCTGCTGTATGCGAGCTCCACCAAGCAAAGCAAATGTTAACACCCGTAAAGTGGACGGGCATAAGTCAGCTAAATAATTTCCAGTACGAGTGTGGTAGTATCAAGATGTGGCGCGCATTTCGTGTGGGACTACGATCTCGGATAAAGGCTGTTCCCATTGAGTCAACGCAGCAAGTGACAGGTATAAAGGTTTTGAAGCCTTTTCGCGCACTAGACACCACAAAAGGCGTGTTGGAAAAGCCAGCTTCTCGGTCGAAAAATCCACCATCAGCGAAAGATGAGGGGAAACGTAGCTGCGAAGAAACTGCAAGCGCCTTGTTTTCATGTCCTGAGGAAGGGTGTATTAAAGTCTACCGCTCTAACCATTACTTTGTCAGCCATCTTGACTTCGGCAAGCACCGGTAAAAACTTCACCGGGAAACGCAGTACGATCACAATAGACGGCAATGGGCGGCGAACAGCTCCTCTCTGAAAGTAAAAATACCAGAGATTCACAAGACCTCCAGTACTTCTACCGCCAACAGCTCCAACAGTGTGCCTGGTGGCTGGGCTCTCAAGGAAGGAAGTGCAGCAGGTTTACAGAACAGGCGGAGAACTTCCTTCTTGAGCTATTTCTTGTTGGTGAAGAGACTGGGCACAAGGTGACCCCACCTGATGCTTCAAGACGAATACGCACACTAAGTCTGGAGGGTACTAACCAACACTCGTTCGACAAAGAGGAGCTCAGCAGATTGCAAGCTATTTTTCTAGACTGGCGCTCTTAAAGAAAACAGGAAAATTGCCACAGGCCAGCGACATCAACGTTGTTGACCAAGATTTAGAGCCACTGGAAAGAGAGATTCGACGGTATTATCTCCGCCAGAGGGTAAAACATCAGTTAACTCTGTGAACACGCTTTAAACTACACAATCGCGAACCGTCGCAAGCGGGGTTCTCTGGTTGGGGCTGTCTTTAGTCTGGTCCTTCAACTCATACGCCTTTATGTGCAGAGGTCCCCCCTTTTCATTAAATAAGCCTGCGGTGTGGTAAGGCTGGACTGGAGGTGACATTAGAGAGAGGCGTACAGGTAGCGGACCAGAAAATAGCGTTTTCTGGTCCGCTACCTGTTTCTGGTTTTCAGTGGAAAGGGTTTGGGATGAACCAGATGAAAAGAAATAGATGTAATATTCCCCAACCCAAACAAAACAGTAAAATCAAATCAGCATTTATGGTTCAGAAACACTGAGGGGGAGGGGGTAATCCTCTGATAATAATACCCTGATAGCTTGGGTGCCCTGTGGTACTATAGGGTAAAGATATTCTGTTTAAGTATGCTGATGATACTAGTATTGTTTCGCCCGTGTGGAAAGAACAGGATAACTCAATGGATATAGTAAGAGCATTTATGGAATGGTCAGAGAAGAACTGTATGTCTAGTAATAGTAAAAAATGCAAGGAGCTAGTTATCAGAAAGAAAAGCTGTACGAATGTTTTTACGCCAGTTTTCGGCATTCCACAAACTTGTCAACTTTCTGTCCTTGGGTTAATATTACAGGATAATTGTCGATTTGATTGTCATGTGC